GTGGATCAAAGGCAACACCTATTCAAATGCCATGTAAATTATGCTTTAGCCATCTGCCACAACATGTTTTGGCAAAGCATTTTAGCGGGCAAGGTATGGTAGATTAGAGATCACTGAATTTTAAGTTCAATTGGTTGGTAGATATGCTTTTCCGTTAAAAATATCCGATCTGATTTGATCTTATGAAAGTGAAATATGAATGGATATAGTTTGAGTGTTAACAAAATTACTATCCCTTAAATGTCTGATTTTTTGAGTTTTGCCAATTAATAAAAATGGAACTTTGGCCCCATTGCCTGTTGTATCGCGGATTTAAAGAAAACTGTCTGATTAACATAGTCGCATATATGTGACGCCCGGATTATCTCATTCCAACCTGCATTTAACACTCACTAAAACATATTGAAATAAAAAATTTGGACTGTGGTGGCTGATTCTCCTCTGAGGTACTAACACGCTAATTGTTAAGCGTGACCAGGATGTATTCCATCAAAGGGCATTTTTTGATCAGAATAAATGTTGTAGAATATAAAAATACTTTCATATCTGAATATCTGGCCCACTTTAGCCGAGCTCGATGGCACATTTATTCAATACCGCTGCATCTCTTACAGAATGAAGGGTTGAATTCCTTGTCTCTTCTTAACCACACAAATCATTGAGGCACTGAATGATTGGGTCGGATTCCCATCGTCTCTCATCCGGTATAATCTTAAGAGAATAGCTTTGACTTCTTAAAAACCCTTAGCTCTCATGACACTCCAGCTGGCTATAAAACCACGCTAGTATCCAAACCATAAACTTTAATTACTCTTTTAGCTTAAGCGTACTGACCGCTGTGCCCATTAATCACAGTAACACTTCCAGCAAATTTGCACGAATATCGGCAAACAAACAGTAAGACAGCTATACTGCATGTTCGTATTGTCTTTACAGCAACTTCAACGCTGTCTGCGAAAGTCGCTGCTTATTAAAGCTAATCCAAATCTTCACTGACTTTTTAAAATAGTATTTGTCCTACATACATCTTTATCCACGTACAACTTTTCTTCTTACAGTAGAATTTCGCTTCTCTCATCAAATATTATTTAAAAAATCTGCATTTCTAAATAAATTTAAAAAAGATGAACTTTATTGCTTCAACAGACTCTAAAATACTGCATAGCACTGTGGGATACATAAAATTACCGAGTAAAGCAACATATCTCTATTCTTTATAGCTGTGCTATAAAAGTTACAGGATAGTTTACTGGGTAGAGCGATAAATACTTCATCTCTACTAGGGTTAATTTAAGTTCAGCTTTTAGCCACCATTGTATTTTAACAATTAAATCATTAAATTTTCCTTATTTCTGATGGATACACTGTATTATCTCTGACATTCGGTAGCTCTTAAAGATCTTACATGTCTTCATCCCAAGTCATCATGTCCGTTAACGGTAATGGGTCATTTATATTTGCGTTGCATGTTGTATTGTTTACCATTTTAAATTCTTGTATTTAGTTGAGAAAACGCTGATATGAAAACGTACGTCAGATTGTGTCAATTCTTTGCAGCCTACCGTTTTCTTCCATACAAGATAACTGTTTGCTAACAGTCAATAACTCGATGATGAGAGAGGCTAGGTCGTATTCTAATTCCTAGGTTCGCTCCACAAATGGAATTATCTGGGTATTTTGGAAACGAAATGATTGTGTTGGCGTTACCGACTATTTCCATTAGCTTCACTCGCCTCCACCTCTTTTACTTTTCATGCACTAATTTTCCTGTCATGCTCGATACGGAGCCACCCCGACGCTCATCACTGTGAGCGAAAGTTAATATTTGTCCCTTGTGGATGGGTTTACATTTTAGTCCTTTAATGTGTTTTTCAATATTTAGTAATGCTACAGGCTCACCCATAAATCCACTTTACACAACTTTTTGGCCCTCATTTTACAGTGCTTATGCTTCTGGTGTTTTTGGACAAAAAAGTCTAGTACCATTTGAACGATTCATAGATCTCGATAAATCGCGTCAGGAAAGTCATCCATCACCAGTTAGTCACAATTGAGCATTTCAAATCTAAATGAGTTTCATTCTAGCTTATTTCTCATACTTTTCAGTTTTTTTTGAATTTTAGTCCCAGGTTCAAAATAACAAAGATGTAATTACTTATTTGAAGTGGGGAATTACTATGGTTTCCGGTTTAGTAACGGCGGCGTCTGCAAATCAGTAGCAGAGCTTCCATTTCTTCACATAAATTCTCAACTGTTCGGTCTCACGTCAGTTAAATACACATCACACAGCACTAGATTTTGCTGCAATGCAAACTACATCAAAATATTTGGAATGTCCGCACACCTCTCTGCCCAAATGATATATTAACATTGTAGCTCTAGAAAATTTCATTGGACTAAAAGTGGATGTACTTCGGCGAATCAAAATCCGAAACCGTTTAATTCGGCATTATTTTGAAGCCTGTAGTCGGTTCAGCTATTAAACTAGACGCTTTCTTTCGCCTTTTTTGTTTTATGTGTTTCCTATTAATGTTTTACCTAGCAGTCTACAGAGCGTTAACAAAAATTTTAGGGCTCAAAAGGTTGTAAGATTCCCATGTACAATTCATCATTTCAGGTGTAACCTCACTTCCTACATTGTAGTGCCCGATATGCTGACTTTGAATCTACTGAGAACCCCCCCAAAATGAGAGTGATGCAGTGATTTTAAACTAGAAAATAGGAAGGAGACTGTAAATGTCCTATTGTATTAAAATAAAACTTGTTTTGGCATATTTTGTCCAATGACGGGTCATATAAAGCCAAGCATATAAAAGGACAACACTTAGATTGTCTTTTGAGACGGTAGACATTAACAAATTTCTGACGAGTTTATCGACGTTACCTCAATTTTCAGTATCATTTTTAACCGACCAACTAGTAGGTGAAGTTGGGGAAGCTTCGCTACGATGATGAATTCCTTAACCATTATTACGAGTATTAACGGAAAAGTAAAGGACTTCAAATCTCACATGACCTTTTGAAACATCTGAGCGTGTTTTGAAAAACGACATTGTGAAATGCTTGTTAGGCATTTGTCACCGAATGCGTCTCTGGTGACATCTATTCTTTCCAGTTGTGAATTAGAAAACTCGAAATTTTGTGATGCATCGAGTTGCATTAACAAGTTCTACAAGCGATTATGCACATTTTCTTTCTAAATTATGACAAGCTTTTTAGATACTGAACAGGCTAAGCTACTAGAAGATAGTGAAATGGCTTACAATTTCCCTTTGGATGTCAATGCAATAGCGGTCGTGTTACCTAGGAGAAACGGCGAAGTCTCATTTTTCCAAACAGTCGTTTTTAACTGCTTTTGACCAATCGTTGCCACATTTGAAGAAATAGAGTTCTCAATTTAATAACATTTGGTAGCTAACCAATAAAAGCCAAAATTTCTAACGATTTTTCAGCGAACTTTGAAGGCACATTTACTCCCGAAATATGCCCTCAACAGCCCTGAGTTTTGTAATCCCGAAATTCGTTCCACCACTTTGTATTCCACAGGTCGCCTATTCAAAACATTAATTTTTCATTTATATTTGCTGCCACTGGGAATTCAAAAGCCAACATTTATCATGAACTGTCTTGCAATTTGTCTGAAGGTGCTTTTGTAGGGTATTAAAAATTCTTTCCATGCAAAGCAGACCAGCGAAATTTACGGTGATTAGGATCTAGAAATGAATGGTTTTAAGAAGCATTCAGTAAAAGGTATATTTTGGGGATTTACTACAATCTGGATGTCTTCTTTGTGAGTGTTAAAAAACCTGTTAATTCATCACCAGAAAACTTGTTTGAAATTTGCAGCAGACTTATGTAACGCGTCTTTTATACGCTGTAGTCCACGAAGTAAATTTTCATGACAGTCTCCTTGTTTTTTTATTACAATTTATGGCCTGTTCAGAAAGGCATATTTTTACTCCTCCCTAGTCACTTGTGAATCTCTTCCACCTTAAACTTACTATTTTACCCCTTATTACAGTTTAAACCAATTTATTAGGTAATATTTATTACAGGTACACGGCTCAATGCTCATTCTTTTCTCAAAAATTGCGGAATCGAGATTTTTTGCCTCGGAAATCTGTGCACCATTATTAACGGCAGTGGTCATCAGCTGGAGCATCATTGACTGCGTTCCTGGCCTGAGGCATCAATTTCACTGATGGGAAGTCAAGATAGTTAGAAAAACGTGGAACTTTGTGGGCCAGATTACAGTTCAACCGGAGGAAGTATGCCCAGACCGCATAGGTGTGGAAGGACCCAGGTTTTAGCACATTCCTGCACCATCCACTTACGGATCCCGCCGCTAAGAGGCTTATAAAAACCACAAAACTAGCGCCATTCTTCGTGAACAACAGTTACACACTTTGGTCAAAATGATGACAAGACCTACAAGTTTGTTTAATCCTATATGCAGGTCTCTCTCCAAGGTTGAGACTGTGGTTCCGCTTGAGGTAAGTGGTTTTTAAATAGAAGAGAGGAATATGGTCACTGAAATTTACTGAACGAAACGTGAAATAGCAAGCACAAGTTATGAGATTACACTTGGATCTCTATGTGCTACGGTTCAAGCCTCGAAGATAGCTGTCTTTCGATTCTAAAGCTGTAATTCAAGTTGTTCTGTAAAAACAGTTCTTACTTTTATTACTAAAGCGTTCGGCTGGGTATGCAACCACACAAACTTTATTGTATCATTTAACACATATCTCCAGGTAAGCCACTTAAAGCTCTCGTAGAAATGACTTACCCAAAATTCTCCTTACCCTAATAATTTCGTCAAGATTATGCCTTTTCACATTCGTGTGCTTATCCATTGACGCACCTGCTGCGACTGAGTTTATGGTTTTTTACCGTTATAGTACTAACCACCCGCATTCAAGTGATTATTATTGTTGTTTTTATTGCAAAATGTATTAAACACAGTAAACAGTGCTAAAAGGGAAACAGCCCATCCCCGCGTGAGTATTTCTCCGTGCACACAACTGGTGTATTGGAAAGACTAAAAGAAGTTCCACCCACCTATGCTGCAAAGACTGTCACCACCTAGCAAAAAGGAACGCCAACCGAGGCTCCTCAGAGTGACTTGCGTGCGTGGAGGGCGAGGCCGGACGCGACCATGTCAGACACGCCATCCACCTACAACTTCTCATGACATACACCCTTCCTCTCACTGCCTCCTGCCTTTCCCTTCCTCCCGCCCTGTCTCACTCACCCACCGACTCCAGACTACATATGGAACTAGCTTATAATTCGCCATCTAGCTGTCATGCCTACACGTTTTACACGGAAACCGGTACCAAATTGTTGAAATTAAGCCTTTAATCAATTTTTCAAGTGCATAGTGACAGAACAAGGTGTGCTAAGATTTTGCGACTGGTTAAATACTCTAGTTTTGGGTTCGTTCACTTGATTAACTCCAAGCCATGGAAATGTATGACTTCTTGATTCCCGCATCTTTAGTCTCAATATATCAAACACTGACCAAGCACATGGACAATGCGTGACTATAAAATGAGCAGGAAAATAACTACCAGTGACACTGTTTGCTGCAGTACATCTCTGCAATGCAGCTATTCGTTTGACACAAAAAAATACCTCATGAGTAAAAGCATATTAACCTCAGAGAAATCGCGATAAGGGCTAAAACTGCCATGGCTAAGACTTTTAAAGCACGTTTCGAGCTTTAGAAGCAAGCCAAGCCACTGTTTTAAATTACATGCGTTTCAGAAAGTAACTCATTTGTTTGCAGAAGGGTAATAAAACGTACCGGAAATTCGGCCCCGATTCGACCATTAAACTATAACGATACGATCAGAAATGTGTTACCTAAATTCCTTTTCATGGTTCTTTACCCAATAAGAAATAGTGGTAGGACTAAAATCGAGTATCATCAATTCGTAAAGTGATGAAAAATACCAAGCAAGGAAGATCACTTCAAATATTAATCGTCGTCAGTCGAAACCACCTAGTAGCCACCTTTTGCCAGAATATCGCTTATTATTTACAGATGCTATCGTTATCTACAAAACTTCGACTTCTTAATTAAGAACAACAGCCAAAGATATGGCTTACCACACTAGTTATTTACATTGAATAAATTTCACCACGAATCTCAAAAGATATGCATCTAAGTTGAATAATTATCAAATAAATCGACAGATCTCTTGTTGGAAACAAAATTGGTATTCGCTGCAAACGTGTATAAGGCAGTTTACGTGAAAATCCCCGCTACAATATCATGAAAGAGGTCCATTACTTAAATTAAACAACCTTTAAGGCAAAATTCTACTAACATAATTTTAGTAGAAATTTAGTGGTCATAACGAGAGTTCTCATACTCCTTCAGCCAACCACTGATAGCCTCGATTTCAGCCTGGCGCGCGACCTTCACTGAGGGCGGGTCAGCCGGATTGCCGCCTCTAAAGTGTAGAA